ACACAAGAACTGAGTTGAGTTTAAATGACAATAAGCATACAGCTAACGATACCCAGAAAAGAAACAACTATAGAATTAATCACGTATAACAAAAGTAAGGATCCACGAATCGAATCCAAACATAATTGTCGTAACAGTTACTATATTGCGGTTTCTCTTTTAGCACCGAAATAACCCTTTTCAACGACAAAACAATACTAAGAAAGCAAAAAATACAACTATGAACTAAAGAGAGAATTCTTCTTATTCTTGAAGACTTCGAGGAAAGAAGAAGGATGACCATGAACAGTGACGATTGAAACCGACCCCAAAACTTACTGACTTTTTTTTTTTTTTTTCAAAACTTACTGACTTGAAAAGGGGTTGAAATCGTTCATGACGTACTAAAACACAGTGCTACAAGCTTTTATCGCTGATTTTATAATTTCTTTTATGTTCACATTTTGCATTTTTTTTTCCTCCTTGAAAAACGTAACGGTCATTGCAGGCGGTCGAGCTCAACTGCTTTCTTTTTGTGGGTCATTACCGCCGCGCATGCTCTATTGGGCTCCTGCTGGAGACTACTACCTTGCCCCTTCTTACGCAACATTTCTTGATGGCATCACGAACCTAAGGACATCAGTCCAAGAAGAAGAAATTAATCGATAATTTCTTATAAAGGCCAAGAAATAATATCTTTTAATGAAGGTATCATATCGGCCAATCAATTTGTATTTACATTTTCAAGGGAAAGATGTCAAATTTTTGTCAATAATCTTTCAAAAAATTTGGTTGTCAGAGAAATGTGAAGTCCCCAACATATACCAGTCGAAACCCTAATTTGCTTAGGGGTACCTTTAGGATTAGCCAAGTCGTTCAGAGACTTTTTTTTAAGTTAGAAAGGGTAGATGCCAAGGGTTCTACTCAGTTTGAGTTTTCACCAACTTCAATTCCACGCATAATATAATTCTAGTTGAAAGTGAAACTGATATGGGATATGCAGAAGCTTTTAATCGGAAAATTCAAATTCCATGTTGGTATTTATGTCGCACTACTACGCTTTGTCATCGGTAGAGAAAACTTCT